GACGGGCTTGACGCTCGCGCGCGCGTGCACTCCTCTCACGAAAACTGAAGAACAAGAGAGACTGCTCGCAGTCTAATTTTGTTTGCGAGGAGAGGGCGGTTGTACACAGGCTAAAAGAGCTTCAAGCTATCTTTTGAAATGGAAACAGTTATTTAGCTGTAGCTGGGCACAGGCGCTCTCCCGAGGACTAACTTCTTAAATGACTTTAACCTTTTCTTGCCCTTCTAGGTACATGTATTTTCCCGGGAAAATAGAATCACCTTTGTATATCACAAGACCCAGGAAGAAACAATTTGTTTTAATAAAATTGGGGGAATTGACTGAACAACAAAGTCACAGTGAGGGCTCCCCTCTCCTTGGTTCTTGACAAATTATGGAATACGAAAAAATCCTTGGTTGTTTTTCTTCTCACTTTTCCTCCAACAACCAACAACGATGCAAACAACCATAACTATATCTGTTCGAGCTGGTTTTGGTTACGTTTGAGGGACACCAACATGGCGGATAGCAACCGTTGTCAAGCGTCGGGTCACATGGGTGAAAACCAAGAACAGAGGACTTACCGTAACATTAGAAGGCGTCAGTATCGAGGTTAAAACACACGTTTCCCCTGTTTCTAAGTGTCCGGTGGCATGGTTGCTCAAAAAAATAGGAAAATAGGAAACCCAGGAAACTTTGTATTAAAAAATAGGAGAAAAATAGGAAAATCAATAGTACTTTTGTCGACATAGTTGGTCTCCCCGCATCCGATCAGGGCTATAATAAAGGCCACGAGTCCTTAGCCTTTACGTTCGCGGCTTAGGAGGAGTGAAAAAGATCAGTAACATTTAGTTTTTTGGCTCAGTTACGCTGTAATCAGGATGACATTCTTGGCTACAGGTCGAGCACGTTCTATAATCAAAGCTGATCATATGACAAATCCCTTCTAGTTGGCGGCAAATCTTTGAAAAGCTTCTTAGGACAGAAATTTCTTACGATTGCGTTGTCATTAAACGATATTGAACTAAAAAATTCCATGATATCTTTCCTTCCGTTAATCTACAATCGGTAGCTGGTTGAGAATATGATTGTTTGAGTCAAAAGACCGCATACCGACCGTTTTAAGTACCAAACCTGGCTTTCCGCAGTGTATGCAAAAAGACAGTGTGTTATGGTTAAGTTCTAAGAGGAATCTAACACTCTTCTTAGCTATGACCGGAAGAACAGTTTCGGAACCAAAATATTGTATCCTTCATCAGTTGCTTAGGTATAGCTGTTAATAAGAGCTCACCAAGAGAGCTAGTGCCGTAAACTAAACTTGAGTCTGTTCTTTTCACGTAGCATACAGAATCCAGCTAGTGATTAGTTCTTTAAACAACAAGCTGATTGGATGATTTATCTGATCTGTGTTGTGAAAGGGATGCACAATATTATTTAATAGTCATGAGAAGTGAAGCATTACATACAATACATGTACATGTAGGTGCACTAGAAAATTATGCAAAAAGTAACAATAATTATAACAAAGTTGTTAACAGAATTCTAATGGACAATAGAGGTCTTGGAAAGAACAAATGTAGCTATTATTTTTACTAATATTAGAACATCAAGGTCAACATACAACTTGCTTTATGATAAATCTCACCCTAAAACACAATACAACTATTATTCCATTTTCAATATTTTTGCAAATTATGGCTTCACCAACTAAAAAATAGGAAAAATAGGAGGTTTTGGTTTAAAAAAAGGAGAAAATAGGAATATGCTCAAAAAATAGGAAAAAACAGGAACTGGACACCCTGCAGTATGGATTTTTTCCCTGCTACAAATTAAACGGTAAACACTTTTAAGAGGGCCTCTCACCCCACCCTTTGCTCATAACAGAGACCAGAAGCAACAGAAAGCAAATAATGTTTTTCCATACCTGAAATATGCTTACAGCTACTTTTAGTTTGACTTCCTGCTGCAAAATGAGCTCTCTTTTCAGCACGAGAAGTTTCTTCAACCAGTGGCTCTTCATCTCTGGGCTTGTTGTCATTTTCGGAAGACCCTGTTGGTTGGTTTTAAAAATACTGTCATTGTGAGAGAAAAAAGATGAAAGCCCCTTTCTGCTGAAGAGAAAGTTAATAGAGTTGTTTTAAAGAATCCTGTTAACTACAAAAGATTCACTAAATGTTCTGGAATAGCCAGTGCTTTTGGATTGCATATCATTGCACTGTTAATTTGGACTGCCTAATTTGAATTACTTCAGCCATATTTTTCATGATAGAACATTCACATACATGTTACAGGTCAAATTCAACCCCAGGTTAATTTTGATTTAGCCTAGGTTGATTCTCAATTTCCTTTGTCTTCTAGCCCTAATAGACAGAGGGAATCAAGAATCAACCTAGGTTAAAAATATTTAACCTGAGAACAAATTTGACCTGTAACACACATAACTTTTTCAACCTACAGCTTATGGGTCTATGAAATACCAAGTTACATCAACACTACTAAAATACCAAATTACCAAAATACAAAAACACTAGGTTTTATTAATGAGTGTCGAGACAAGAAAACGATGAACATGTAAAGATGATTGTAACTAAGTGGCCGATCACAATAATGTTTGGAACACACAGGCAAAAGTCAAAATAACATGTACAAAATAGTGTTCATCATATTCATTGTTTTATGCATGAGTTTCAAAGCAACAACTCTTACCTTGGACCATTTCCCACATTCTCTCCACAAGGGCTTTGCATTGTTCCTTCCAACTGTACATTTCTCCATAAGATATTTTTAGTGCTTTAACCTCTTTGAGTCGCATTCGATGCCTAACACGAACACCTTCAATTGCCTCTGCCCATTTTGCGGGATCATCTGAATTCACGTTGCATGTATTACCATGAGGAACATTTTCTAATGCTTTGGCAAATCCTGACCTACTGCCTACAAGAATGGGTAGACCTGCAGACAAGGCCTCAAGTGCGACAAGACCAAATCCCTCTGATTTTGATGGCATGATGGTAAGGTCAGCTTCACACAGCAAATCTTTCAGTCTGTCTCTACTTTGTATAAATTTTCTAACAGTCAACTGTGCTTCTGCGATACCACATTGAAGAAGTTTTTCTCTTATTTCTTCTTGCTTTCCTTCAGGTGCTCCGACAAAGATTAGATGGTAAGGTTTGCTTTTTAGCCGTTGATCAGTAAATGCTTGAGCAGCAATGTTGTATCCTTTGAGTTCAAAATCCTCATCATCCCCTCGACCAAATAACAACACTTTCAATTCACCATCCTCGTTAGGATCTTGTTTTGCAACTAAATCCCCAAACTCCCTTTGAAAAAGACCTGGAGTAATGGTCAAAACGTCTTGATGTGTCTTACATCGCTGCAAATACGAAGTGTACGTTTCTTTTAGTTTGGGTCCCACAGGGACAACAAGATCCGCAAGTTCGCAAAGTTCAACTTCTGATTCGTGTTTTGTTTCACCTTTTGAAATGGGGTCATCATAGCATTTGTACTTGCTTAAGTCCTCTGGAGCAGTATGCACCACTTGTACCCACTTACAATTTGTAAATCGAGCAGAGTCTCTAATGACCTGTATTTGCCGACCAAGTTTTACACCATGGCCAACAACGATATCCATGAGGTGCTCATGGGGTGGAAAGCTTAACCAATCAAGACGATCAAATGCTGCAAGTCTCTTCGCCTCAACAATAGTGATTCCATAGGTATGGGCTTCATTTTTTTCCTCATAATTACAAGCTCCCTCTGGGACTAGAAGAGAAACCTTCACTGCTGAATGATTTGAAAGGTGAATAGCAAGCTCCCTGTTTAATGTTGACAACCCACCAGCAGATGAACTCCACTCACCACCAAGAAGAGTGACATGCAACATTGGATCACTGGTCTCAGAATAGCAAGCCTACAAAAACAATATTAACAACAGTGAATAGTTAGGAAATACACGACCAAAAGACATAGCAGGTTTGGTAACTGTCAACTGCTAGTACATAAGTTGTAAACTACGTTGATAGGGGTAATCACTCCAATTCCCCATCATAGTAACACGTATTACAGTGTCTTTAGAAACAAACCCCTTCTATCAAATAGGAATTAATCAGGCCTGTCAACAATACTCTCTAATTTTATTATTAATCAAACAAACAAAATATAATGCCCTAAATGTAATCTCCACTCTATTCCTGATTTTCACAGCACCCATGCACCAAAAGGACACGATCACACCATTGCATGTAGTTTTCTGTTCTCTTGATGAAACCAGTTTTTACAAAGCATCTGGCAACTTTTAATGTTTCTTTTTGGGACACAACACCAAATAATCATAAAGTTCTCTTTAAAGGCCATGAAATGACACTGTATATAGTGTAATAGGAATAAAATACAGCTTATTATAAAAAGAATTAAGAAAAAAGAATAAACCTTTGGGTTGTTGAGACTGCATTCTGCTTTCATGGTCTCAGGTTGACTGGATGAGGCAGCCATGGCTGATAAAGGGAAAAATAAGAAATTAAAATGACTTTCCTAGTAGTAACAATTAGTCCTAATACTTCAGGTAGGTTTGACTTTCATCACAATGTCAAGCAAGTTTTTTAAGTCTGAACATTCGATGTTTAGCAGAATATGGTTATCATTGATTTCACAGTACAATAACACTGCTGGCCACACAATAGCAGATAACATGTGGCTCTCTGCTGTCAATAAAGTAATTAAGCAGAGGTCTTTTTATCTTTTAATAATATATTATAATAATTATCAAGACATTAACTCCTGCATTATATGATCCTTCTCTAAGACAAAAACTTCCATCAAAATGGAAGCTGATTGAAAAATGTCATTAATTAACACAATAAATCATCAAAACGTAAGATTGCTTCCCAGTTTCTTTCTGCCTTAAGCAACAGGCACAGGTACATTTGTAAACAGCAAATAAAATTAAAGGAATATGATAACTCTAGATTAGTCTTTTAATAAAAATAATCAGAGCAATCAAACAGGTCAGGATTTCCAGATGTTTTTTTCTCTTGGAATTACTGAGTAAAACAGACCTCTTTTTAAAGAGAGGGGCAGAGAGGGGGGTGGGGGAAGAAACCTTAGGCCATTTAAGCCCCCGACTATGGTTGTTCTCATGTATTTTTGAGTGTGTGATATGTTATAATAAAGTTAAGTTAAGTTAAACTCTTTGCCAAAAAACAACAACAACAAGAAAAACCAAGGTAATTGGTTGTAATGAAGACATCAATACTCAATACTTAAAATGCTTTACATCTTGTAATAAAACTAGTTCTAATTTCTTCAGATTTTCAGATTAACTAATTGGTCATGAACTTAAGTGATCTAAATCTAGGGTGGAGACTGAACCAGACTCTTGCCTGGCTCCCCGTTTGGGGGGACATTTTCATTTGTGGGAACATTTTCTTCACTCAGCTTGCAGGGAGGGAGTTGTTGGGGGTTGTGGCTATAGATAGATGGGGGAAACAATTCACAACTACATGAAAATGCACATGCAGAAATGGTGGCAAGCAAGAAGAACCCAAGGGTAGGGCAATGGGCATGAAGCATCTATTAATAGTCTAGCTGACGTGTTCAGTAACTGAGAGCACTGAGTGTCTGACAAGATTGATTGATTTGATATTACAAATCAGTTGTTTTGTATGTTGATATTGCACGGATGTTAATTTCTTTAATTTCTCTTCATTAGAAAATTTG